GAGAGCCCATCTACACATTCAGATCATTTGAAGCAATAAACTCCAGTGCATATTATACCAGAGTTTATTGCTCCTAGGCACTGCATTTGAACGTGCTCCTTGGGCCACAGCATGTTGAGATGAGTCGGAGCAACCCTGGCTGACAGGGGGCCAAGGAAGTCACCCTCCCAGCCCAAGGCTACTCCAACCCAACTCAGTGTGCTGCGGAGGGGTGGCTGGGACATGGAGGTGCTTTCATGCAGAGCTAGCCACCAGGCAGTCCCCCGCACTGAAACAACCTCATGCCCTAGAGCCAGCCCCATCAGCATCCACAGGTGCATTGCTGTGCAGTAAATAACTACGTGGTAGGATAGTACTTGTATTTACAGGTACCATTCTACCTATGGCAAAGTTTTTTGGTTTAATGGGGCCTAACAGGGCTGCATATGTAGACGCCAAGACTTTACTGTGGAGCTAATTAGGTTGCTCTGCAGTAAACATCTCATGTAAATGAGCCCTGAAATTCTTTAGGCCGGGATATGAGGTTTGAGTGGTGGGGGTTTCTTCTCTCATGCTCCTTTGCTTTGGAGACGGGGTGGGGAATATCTGACTCTCTTATTGAGAGCGTCAGTAATGCTGTAGCTTTGATGGTTGTGGAATTACAGAGGCAAGAATTTCTGGGGGCGATCTCCTTTATTGGACTTGCGTAGTTGGGGTAGAGTTAGACAAGCTTTAGAATGTAAGACCCAAGCAAGAATGTCTTGCATTCAAAAGCTTGTCTGACTCTCCCAACTACATAGTTGGTCCAATCAAAGTTATCACCCTAACAAATACTTGCCTCTTGCATACCTGAGACGTCTTGCAATCAAAGAGATCTATTTCTCTTGTGCATTGTTTTGCTTATAGTGTATCAGTCAGTTGGACATGTGGATTTAGAACTTACCAGTGATAGCAAAAAGAAATGGAACAAAAAACAGATGCACAAAGCAGCTTAAAGATGTAAGTTAAATAAAGCTGGAAATTGCTAGAGGTTAATGTTAAGCATGGGGTAGTGACACACCATCTAGTAAGAACACTTACAAAAAGCCCCTGTGTTGGCAGCTGCTGGGTGTAGTTCCCCACTTCAGTGGTACATGGTTCTCAGCTGGAGAGGACCTCATAATTTAATGCCAAAAATATTGAAGATTGTTTCACAAGTCTGCACTGCTTGCCTTGTCAGACAAGCTATATATGACAGGTCAGAAGTCAGCCAGACACAAGATAAAAACAGTTCAGCAGCAGCCTGCATTGAGGTACAATGTATTTCTGTAGTTACAGAAAAATGACCGCTTCCTAAAGAAAGTTATTTACTTTTAATTTTAAGATTTAAGGCAATTGAATGAATATTACTAATAAAATGTTCATGTCATGATGCTTTTAAAGTCGTAGGAATCTGGATACTTCCTCTATAAACCTTTAAGTCTATAAGCTGACTGGAGTCCTGCTAGAACTAGGAAAGGGCGCTGAAATGTTTGACTGATTGTTGCACAGACTGGAGTTGTACTCCTCAGGAGACATCAGACATGAGTAATCAGATCTGAATGCAATATGAGGGGTTATATATTGATTGATGTCATAGTGAATGGTCTTGATGAACTCGGTGCAGTTAGGGAGCAATTCCTTTTACAAGTCATACTTACATACAAGTAAGATTAAATTCTGTTTACACTTCTAAGAAACAAATTTTGCCTCTACTGTCACTAGCCTGTGCAGCCTCTTCCCTGCTTCTTTTTTTTTCTAACTGGTTTAGTGGGATTTAATTCATACTTAAATTCGGGAGCAGACTAGACAGCTGGGAAAAAGGTGCCCCAACAAGTGTGTTCCTGTGAGGAGCTATTCCAGCACAGTTAAATCATACCCTACCTTCTTCCAGAATAACTCTCTGTAGATGAGCCCTAATATGTCTGTAAATCATCTTCAATGAAGATGAGACAGTAAGTCAGAGGAGTGTTAACTGGGTACTCAAAGGGTGGGGGGACAAATTCTAACTCAGCAGTGTCTCTGTAGAGGGAGCGGAGGGCTTAAAAGTTCCCTTGTCAAATGGGTATGGCCGAGTCCCCCTTCCCAGAGGCCCAGGTACTAGCTTACTAACTGGGACTGATGGTCCAGCACTGATGGCTTTTAGTTGAGGCTGCACTTGTTTCTTTCTCAGACTTCAAGAAGGGCACTTTGTGCTCAGAAGCTTGTCTACATCTCTCCCACTTGGTCCAGTAAAAGATAGCACAAAAAGTCTTTGCTTCTTGCATACTTCCGGGACCATCGCAGCTGTAATGACACTCCATTCCTTTTCTGGGTCAGATTCTCCATTAAGACAGGCATTTCAATGTATATTAAAAGCAAAATCAGGAAAAGGCTAGTATTGGGAGACGATAGACCTATTTCCTGCTTATGGATTTAGAAATGGACTCAGCACTTTGATCTTTCAGCACTTCCATTATATATATTGTCACTTCTGTCGTATCCTTAGGGCTAGAAGGATCCATTAGTTCTCTTGCAAGTTAAGGTATTTTGATACCAAAAGGAGGGAGGAGTTCCAGTAATTAGCAAGTAACAACTAATACACTTCCCTTACAAAATAAAACAACTGATGATCTTTGACAGGCTTGGGTACTTTAATTAGCAAATGTAACATAGTCTGTGTAGCCTATAAAGAGGGGAAGGCAAAAGTACTGTAATAGATAAGCCCTAATATCCTCTTGGTGTGCTGCATTTTGTAGTAGGAGAGGCCCAAACTTTCATGGATGTTTCATATGCTAGAGGGTATTTGATATGATAGTTCGGCATGCAGTATCCAAATTAGGTCTCTAAATGCCGGAAAGGTATATATACCCTGGAAGGGAAGAGGGGCAGGAAACAGATCTGTCTGGACAAGCCCTGTGTAACCACTCTCCCCCTTCACATGTGTGCTCCCGCACTGAGATACAAAGTTACTGGAGCTACATGGACCTGTGGTGAGACCCAGTCTGACGTCTGCGATGTGTTATGTGAAGCAACATGGCTCATAGCCTTGCTGTAGTTAAGATAATGCCGTATGTCCTTTATAAAACCCGGTTTTCACACTTTAACATCAATCTTTAACATAAAACTCAGGAACTTGGGCCCCAATCCTGCAATGAGTTTTGTGTAAGCATTAGTTTCAGGTACATGAGCACACAGGCCTGTCCAAGGAGTTTGTTGCAGGTTTGGGGCCTTGATGGTTGTGGCCAGATTAGAAGCAAGCTCTTTTTTTAAAAGGTAGTTTTCAAAAGGCTGAAGACGTAATGTCCAGCTGGTGTCATTTCAGTGGCTGATGTAACAAGGGGGGGGGAGGAGGTGTTTAAACTCATGTCCCCTGATACCTGCCATTGTTCATCTTCCACTTTAAACCCTTATGTCATTGGGGCCATACTCTGAGGTCCCAATAACTGATGTAAGTGGAGAGAGAGAAAAGGATACAAACTGATTCTCATTGCTTCACTCCAAAACTGTCTTGACTCCTATAAGCTCTTATGTCCAATACTGCTGGAAGGTGCAGGCAGGTAACTTTAGCTCCCACTACTCCAGTTGCTGTGGTCCACTCAAACCATTTGCTATACAACTTCAGTGTCAAAGCTTGACAGAACAGCTGGGCTGTTGAAAGACAGGGAACTGCTGTTATTTAGGTGTTAAAGTAACATTTTTGCACTGAAAACGGGCTAATTCATTTCCTTTCTTCTATGTTGTTGGTAATGTGTAGTTTATTTCAAAGACGTCCCATTAGCAAACAGAATCCTTAACAAAAACTGCTGGAACAACACATATATTAGGAGAGGAGAACCACAGTTGTCTACAGTACTAAATGTGTGTGCGATGCACACGTTTCATTTCTTAGTGCTTGTCCAAGTGGTCCAAAGTGGATTTATCTTTACAGAAGTTCCCATTGCTGAAAAGGAATGTTGCAATTTTTTTCCCATCCACCATATTTTGTACAATTGGGTATAACTCAGGTTGAGGTAAATGGAGTTTATTCAGTTCACTGAATTAGAAATGTTGGCAGGGGCTAAGGCAAAATATTTTAACTATATTGTCTACTCAACTTGTAGAATAAATACAGTTTACTGGAAGAAGCAATGATAAACTTGCATGGATTGGCTGGCAATACAGAAAAGAGTGCTTCCCTACAAAACATTACATTTCAATTACAGCATATAGGAACATCTCTAGGATAATGCACTAGAGCAGTGATTCTCAACCAGGCTGCTGCAGCAGTGTTAGGCACACACACGATTCACAGGATAAATGCAGACATTTCGCATAGGAATTCATAGTGTTAAAAACATTCTGACCTATTGTGGACTTTCTAAGTTCTCTGCAACAGAAAAGTTGCGCTATTATTTTTAAATAAGTAAAAACTAAGGCTGCTTGCAGACATTAAAAAAAGAGGCACTTTATTAGTGCTGGATTATGGCATGCTGAGGCCCTAAACTATGTCCATCTTAAGAATCCCCATACAATAAAAAGAATCCAATGTATGTATATTTTTGTCATATTAGAATGAAAATGTCCATATTTAGAGAGTCATTTTCTCATATCGCCTTTATTTACCAACCGATTATTATACAACTTTATATTGAGTAAGGTTTTATTTTCTTATTTAGAGACCCCTCATATTGTGAGGAACTAAGTTGTAGCTTAAGTAGCTTAAGCCTAAATCCAGCACTACACTTTATATTAAACTCCAAGTGCCCCTGCGCTGAACCCAGCACATACCCAGAAGAGGCATCACATTAGCTGGACCCAGCTCACCCAGCGTCTGGATAGATTGGGCGCTTTGGTGTGGCTTTTTGGCACTTTTATCTAATAGCTGATTGACTCAGCTATTAGATAAAAGTGCCCAAAAGCCCTGATGAAGTGCTCAATCTATACAGATGCTGCAGTCAGGTTGAAGTAACACACTGCTTCTTCCAGCAAACGATTTTTTTTTTAACATCTGCAAGCAGCCTAACAGCTGTCATTTTTTAAGGGACGCTTTGAGTCTATAGAGGGGTGTCTTGAGTCTAAAAAGGTTGAAGACCACTATACTAAAATGTGATTGTGTAACTAAGTACTGTGTTGTAGGCCTGTGCCAGTGTTCAGTGGCTTCTGTGATTGCACAGGAAATGGTAAGTGTTTTGATTGCTCTTTAAAACTCAGTTGTGCTGGGAATCCTGGGTTAGGTACTCAGAAGTCATTGCAGCTGTAAACAGCTAACTGACTCCTGGGCAAAAAGTGCTGGGATCATTAATGTGATACAGCATGACTAGAATGGATAGACTTAATCATCTGAGAGTAAGTCAGGGCAAAGCCATTGATTTAAATGGTTGAATTTTCCAGCCCAGTTCAGGCCAATTTGCTCTGAACAACTGGTATAATTTTAAACATTCCTTCTCTGCACTGAGTGGTATTACATAGCTAATGTTGACCTTGAGTAAATCACTTCCCCTCTCTGTGCCTCGGTTTTCCCACCTGTAAAATGGAGATAATGAGACTTGCCTCCTTTGTGAAGCATTTGAAGACCCGCTCCTGAAATGTGCTATGTAAGAATTAGTTGGTATTCCTTTCATTCTAACTTTATGTTTGACTTCTACTGCAATGACATTTACCAGGCTACATAAAAGCACAGTGACTTTGAGGCAAGAATTGAATCTGGGGGGCTCTAACTCCTGGTCCCACTGTTCAAAGCATTAGGCATTTATTTTCCTGCCTGATAGAATGCTAAGCAAACAGTGTTAGGCATGCGCCTACCCTGGCTTCATTTGAAAGGGATGCAGGTTAGAAAACTAGGAGAAGGGGATTTATTATTCTAATCATAGTGCAGCTTGATCAGGAAACAAGTTTTTAGCTGTCCCCTAAGAAAGCTGGACCTTCCAGCTGTCCTGCCTGTCTTATGAATCCTGCATCTGGGCAGAAGGTTGAATTTGATGACCCTTGAGGGTCCCTTTCAATCCTGTGGTCCTTTGACTGTGGCACACCTCCGATAAGAAGACAGTCCCTTGTTTGTTTATTCTGTCATTTTTCTCTCATGCCATCTCCCCCATTACTATCACATTTTGTGGTCTTTACCAATTTTCATCACTGCTTGTCTCATCAATGCCCAAACTGATACCTCCAAGATTTGTAAAGTGTCTCCTGCAGTGAAAAGAAGTGCTGTATCTGGATTCAGCAGTTTCTTGTCCCTTGATCAGCTGGAGGTTCTGCATCCAGCTGTGCTCCTTCTGTGTGGGTGGCAGTGCCATAGTGTGTGGGGGGGAAGCAGGCAACCACCCCAGGCACGGAAGCAAAGGAGCGCCAACGGGCATTGCCCAGCCAGGGCAGGGCGCAGGACACAGCTGCAAGTGGCTCATTTGGGGGGAGTGGGGATGGCAGAAGGGCGGCTCCTACTGCTGCACACACTCCTGGACAACCATGGGGGGGGGCATGTGGCCCTGGATTTGTGCATGGGGTGAGGGTGGGCTGCCACTGCTGGCTTTATCCCAGGCACCCAACTTCATTGCTACAGCACTGGTGGGTGGGGTGTCTTAGGAGTCCCTAGTTGCCAGCCCCTGAACAGAATTGTACTAGTTAGGGATGAAAAAAGTCCAGCTAGAGCAGCACTGTGCCCATTCATTATTGTTTCCTACAACATATTGTCCTATGTTCTGCCCTGCCTAATTTTAATATCTTCAGAAATTAAGCTTTCAGTATATCGTTTGTGAGCCAAAAACTCACATCAGTGGAGTGTTAACCTGAGATAGCTATTGGGATGGAAAATCCTGGTGAAGACAAGCCACAGGTAGCTTTTACCTGGATGTAGCTAGCTGGAATCATCACAACTCTCCTGTCCCTAAAAAGAGGTTGACATCAACTAGCTACATTGAGGTAAAATCTATTTGCTTTATTTCCACTAGAAATGTGTATTGACACAGATTTATCAAATTAGCTAGCTTGATGTAAAATACATCTTTTATTGTACTCACAACTTAAATGTAGGCTTCAGAAAGAAAGAGATTCCCTTTGTCAGTAGTGCTAACCCCAGACATTCAAAAATCATTATGCAGGCCTCAGAACAGCCAGCACTGCGTGTGGATAAAACAAAAAACAGCATTCACTTTGTCTTTTGAAGCCTAAGGGAGTGCTCACTTCATACAGTGCTTTCAACATTTTCCTACAGCAATGAGAGCCCAAAACTTCACTCTAAAAATAAAGAAAAAAGAAATGCCAGCTGAAATTTTGTAATCACTTGAATCCAGGAGCAAGGGTTTGAAGAAACAAGATTTATGATCAGGCTGTGTCTTTACTGCCAACACAGGTATGTTTTTACTTTATGCTAACCATAGCAGGTGAGCTGTTCCACTGTAAAATCCTAGTGGAGAAAAGGCACCAGACATAGCAGATAACAAATGTTGTGTACATACAGCTGATGGCCCAGAGCCTTGGACTCAACTTGTCTATTAGGTGCCTGTGGCAGTAGCCGTTCACACGAGCCATTTACTGAGCCAGTACGGGCTCAGCACAGCTCTTGGTTAGGCCACTTGGTTCCCCATTTCTTTATGCCACTTTTCCTTGCCTTCAGGCAGGTTGGAGTCTATACTTTAGCCCTGCTGAGCTGAACAGCAGATTTTGCATAGGCTTTCTATTGCAGGCAGGACCACGTATATCCACAATGAGATAGCAAGAGTCACCACTGCCAGAGTGGGCTGATGGAGGTCTCCTACAACTATCAGCTGCAGAGTTAACAGCCCTTTTTTTGCGATGTCTTGGTCCAATAAAAGGTATCATCTCTGAACCGAGGGGTCTAGAGTTTTGCATTTCTTTTTGTCTCAGACCAACATGGCTACCAAATACATATTTGAGATAGAGGAAGCAGTTCATACCTCTCAGTGATTGTTCAGGATGTCTGCTAACTCTGGCAAGCCTCACCCTAGCTGCTACCTTCATATTCTGTGGTGAGGCTCCTCTGCTTCAGAACCACAAGGGCTAGAAATGTTGTTCATTTTAAATAATGGCATACAAGTAACAGCATGACATTGCCAGGAGATTTCAAGAACCAGGCTCTGTCCATAGGCCTATAGTGCTCATGCTTTAGTCTGTAGTGCGTATTGAAGGAATCTGATAACCCTCTATCAGTATCTGAAGTAGTAAACGGAATCATTTAGGGAGTTATACTGTAACTAGAAATAATGGGATAGAAATGCAAAGGAAGTTCTTAATTTTCCTTTTCTACTTAAGCATTCAGCCCAAGGCCAGGCATACACTTAATTTTGGCTGGTATAACAATAATAAGGGTTGCAATTTTTTATGATATTTTTTATACTGATGGAGGCCATAGAGCAAATGCATTGTTACCTGTGTAAAAGTGTTTTTTCCTTCAATAGTTTATTTTATTTGGGGATCTGGTATAGGTTATATCAGCAAAATGTTTGAAATATAGACTAGATTTAAGGCTATGGCTCCACTGCAAAAAAAGTCTCATTTAACCCAGTGAATTAGCAACCCCTCTGTAAAATCCTGATGGACACAGGCACTGCAGCTCCTTTTACTGTGATGTGGCTAAACTCCTGCTGATTTTATTTGGATGCACAGCACACTGGGTTTGCACCTCAGTCTTTGATCTGTTCTGTATCCTCAAACAAGTCCCTTCTTCCCATGTTTCTCTATTGGTAAAATAGAAGTAGCTATTTTTTTGCCTTTATAAAATGCCTTGAGACCTGTAGATGCAAAGTACCTCATTAAAGCCACGAATTCTTCCTCCTTGGAGCTAAAATCATGACATTAGAGCTTGATGGATACCAGTGTCACAATCTGTTCCCAGATACCAGCAGAAGGGACACTGCATTTATCTAGCTCTGCACAGTTGCCCAGGAAATTACTTTTCTTACGGATCACAAGGCAAGGGCCCAGTTCTGCCAGCCAGCCATAAGCAGGGCTGCCAGAAGTGGGCTCTTCCTGTGTAGTGTAAAATAAATAGTGTCAAAGAGTCATGCTTTTTCCAGAAAAGGAAGACTCTTTGCTACCTTGGTGTAAGGTTGATTGCATCTTGTTTCTGTGCATAATTCAGGATTCCTTTAAGATCAGTTACCATGCATCTTATTAATTTTTGTTCCTTGTCCTTAGCAACAAAGAGCTAATAGAATACTGTGACTTGAGCTTTCTGCCGAGACAGGGGATGTGAACTAGCAGAACAAGCCATTTCCTGGGAGGTGTGAGACATGACTTCAGTGTCTCCTGGTTCCAGTAGTGTATTCTGCTCCAAAGAGTTGATAAGAGCTTCAGAGGCAAGGAAAATGTTGAAGAAAGTAGTGGGGGAGGCATACCAAGCCAGCAGATGCATATGAAAAGATCAAGAGGTTGCATTTGCTAACCCTCACCTGGGACAAGTTTGGGATCAGAGTCCTAGGTCAGAGGGGACCTAGACAGAATTATGTGGCAAGAGCAGAGGGTGTCTGATAGCCATCAGCTGGTTTCCTACCTCACTTGAGAGGAAATCAAAGATTTGAGAGTGGGAGGAAAGTTAGAGCAAATGATGGGGGATGGGAGGTGATAGGGAAAGCTGTTTTGAGATGGGAGAGGGTTGGATTAAGAGGAAGAGACTCTGAAGTGAAGGGGAGTCTTGTCTCTATTAAATCTTGATGTGATCTTGAAGCTTTATATGCTTTGGAAAAGGCAGAAAATATGTTATTGACAATGAGTTGGGGCCCAATCTTGCTCCTTCCTACTGAAGTTACTGGTCTCCCACTGATTTTAGTGAGAGTAGGCTTAGACCTTTAGGCATTTTCACTGAAAAAGTGATAGTACTGTGTCTCCTTCTCTATATTTTTAAGGCACAAAACTGAGAGGGCCGGAAGAATCCTCTATTTAAAATAGATACAACCATGTTGCTTGGAGTATTCCCTTGGTTTGTAGGGAGGGCACAGGATCTTGTCAGTAACTTTTTATTGGTGTTCTCTTTAAGAGAGATTTTAAAAAACCCATTAATCTGCCTAAGGTGTTATATAGCCCCAATTAGTAGCTGAACTTCTCATAATCTAATATTCACATGGTCACAACACCCCACTGCTGTAGCAAAGTCACTTTATTCAGTCAATGAATTATAGGGAAATAATAGAAAAGCTAAGAAGCAGAGATGACGTTTTCTGATTTCTTT